TAGTTGTATCACTGTTGACCTATTTGTCACTTAGAAAACCCTCAGCAGTCATTCATGCCAGAACACTAAGAACCACCATTTTCTTTTTGCCAGTTTGTATTTCATTAAGGAAACTGAACAGATTTTATTTACTTATTCTTCTTTGTCCCTCTTTATATCTATTGGATTTTTATAGCATAATCAGAAGTGGAACTGTTCACTAAAAGAGGATACATATTTATTTTTTTAACAGGAATTTTACCAAATTCTCTTTCAAAATGGTTGTGCCAAATTATTCCCACCAGTCATACAGGAAAGTGAATGCATTCTCAACTCTTGCCAGCACCAAAGTTTAACAAGCTTTACATTTCTTGCCAAGGTGTTTGAAACTTCAGTTCCCTGGGTAACAAGTGCAGTTGAATATATTTCCTATGTAGCTATGAGCCAGATAAATTTTCTACCTTAGATTTGTATCTATGAAATTCAAAGTATAAGGATTAAATAGTGAGTCAGATAATTTTAACTTTACCAATCTTTGAGCAATATTTTGTGAAAATATTTTCTTCTTTACATACTAGTATGTATTTATCACATAATCTATTATTTATTTATAATAGATTTAAATTATTTATCACAAATATCTATATAAATTGTAATTGGTTTTCTCCCCTTTATGGCTTTTTTTCACTTTGATAAAATTGTAGTTTATACAGCTTTGGTATTATATGGTTAAAAGAATCTTTGCCTTAGATCATTGTCAGACCTGTCCCAAGGTCACAACCATGTGCTCTCTCTTTCTGTTAAACTTTTATTCATATATTTGTATAGATGAGAGATTAGGTTTGAATTCTTTGCAGATGAATAATTTGTTTCTCCAGTGTCATCTACTGAATGTTTCCTTTCTCCAAAGACAGCAGATATCACCTCATTTATTTATGACAATTTCCATGATGCACTCCATAACCTTGATTCCCTAATTTGTCCCATGTCATAAAAAAAAGTATACCACTTGTCAGGTGGTGATGGGGGTTGGAAATGGTTGGTTTTCTTCAGAGATGTGCTTCAGCAGGTGCTCTACATTTTCACAAATGTGGTAGCTAGCAATGGTAACTGGATTCAGTGAGGTGGGGAGGGAGGAAGGAGGAAGGGAGGGAGAGAAGGAGAAAGAGAAACAGAGAGAGAGGGAGGGAGGGAGGGAGGGAGGGAGGGAGGGAGAGAGAGAAAGAGAGAGAATAATCTACCAGCCTGCAGGATATGCTGGATAATTGAAGCACAGACCTTGTGGGAGTGGCCAGTAATTGACTATTCTAATTTGATGCCCACACCATGGAAAGGGAGCCCATGCCAGACACTGCCTAGATGGCCAGGAACCAGAGGCTAGATATCCCAAAGACCTAGGGAAGAAAAAATAATCAATAAAATGATTCCAAATGATGTTGGGCTATACTCATAAACTGGTGCCTAGCCCCATTGTCATCAGAGAGGCTTCCTCTGGCACCTGATAGAAGCTGTTGCAGAGACCCACAGCAAAACTTTGGGCTCAGGGAACCCTGTGGAAGAGTGGGAGGAAGGATTGTAGGAGCTATAGAAGTTGAGGATATCAGGAGAATATGGCCCACAGAATCAAACTATGCAGGGCTCATGTCCTGCACAGAGACTCAAGTGGCAATCACAGAGCTTGCATGGGCCTACACTAGGTCTTCTGCAAATATGTCATGGTTTTTCTGGGTCTCCTATCAATGGAAGTAGGGACTCTGACTCTTTCTCTTAACAGTGGGAATGGTATGTCTCTGACTCATTCTCCTGCTCTTGGGACAGCGTTCCTCCTATTGGGTTGCCTTGTCTGATCTTGATAGGAGGGTTGTGCCATGTTCAGTTGATATCTCTGGGAGACCTGTGCTATTTTCTGAAGAAAAACGGAGGCTGAGTGGATCTGAGGGAGAGGGGAGATGTGGGGAAATTGGGAAAAGTGGAGGGAGGGGAAACTGAGGTTGGGATATATTGTATGAGATAAGAGTAGAATAAAATAAAATAGAGAAAACAATAAGTTGGGAGGGAAGCATTGTGTGGCTATCTAGGAGGAGTATACATGTATGAAGTTATCAAAGAATAAATAAAAACTGTGGTGATATTGTGTTCCCCAAAATATTGTGCACACTACTAAACCAATCTGGGGTCAGAAACAGAACAGCCACAATAGTAAACACAGAGGATAGGCAGTGGTAGCACACGCCTTTAATCACCTTTAATCCTAGCATTCCAGAGGCAGAGATCTACCTGGATCTCTGTGTGTTCAAGGATACAACCAAGCATGGTGACTCATGCCTTTAAACACAAGAAGTGAGCCTTTAATCCCAAGGAGTGATGGCAGAAAGCAAAAAGATATACAAGATGTGAAGACCAGAAACTAGAAGCTTTTAGCTGGTTAAGCTTTTAGGCTTTTGAGCAGCAGTTCAGCTGAGAGTCATTGGGATGAGGACTCAGGCTTCCAGTCTGAGGAAACAGGATCATCTGAGGAATTGGCAAGGTGAGGTAGCTGTGGTTTGTTTTGCTTCTCTGATCTTCCAGCTTTAACCCTGGAATTAACACTTGGCTCCAGGTTTGAATTTATTAACAAGAACTGTTAAGATTCGTGCTACATCTGGCGCCCAACATTCGTGGTACAAATTCGTGAAAAAGCTGCTTGCCTGTGGCCTTGTGGGTCCCTGCTCAGGCCCGAGCTACACTCGGCCGGTTGTGATGGCACATTGGTTGGATTTGCTGAAGGAGGCAGAGGCAGGAGGCTTCTGAGTTTGAGGCTGGCCTATCAGGCTTCCTAAGGAGAAGCTTCGGCCAGGGCCTAGCCACAAATGTTTGCGGTGGGGACCATGGAGGCAGTGGCTACTGCTCTGAGCTACTGGCTCCTTCTCATCATGTTGGTGACTGCGGGGATACTGCTAGCTGGAACAAAAGGTTTACTGTTGTTTGTTCAGAGAAGACTTGCCAGGACCATCATGTTACAAGAAAACATTAGCAAAGGTCAGTTTGGAAAAGTTTGGCAAGACAAATGGTGGGGAGAAATTGCTGCAAAGATTTTCTCTTCTAGGGAAAAATGTTCATGGTTTTGAGAGACAGACATTTGTCAGACTGTGATTGCTCCAAACCACAGAGGAGGCACACACAAAAAAATATATACGGGGAACCATAACCTCACCTAACAGCAACTTTGAAATCTTCAAAAGGATAACAGCACCCCACAACCATGATTTCACATGGACTATGATAAAACCATTAAGCTGATTAACACCACCAAAAGATTGACTTTGGACTACAAACTACTCAGGACACTATTGAGATGGCTAGCTGAGATGATCCAGCCTAACAGGGTAATTGAACAAGGACTTGAGACAAGCCCTGCACTTTCTCATTATGCAGCGACTGGACAAATGATACAGGACTTGACAATTAACCCAAAAGTTTTCTTTTCAGGATCCCCTAAAGATGTCTTCACCCCCAGAAAGCAGGAAGTAATTTTAAGAAAACGATGCCCATATTTCCAAGAGGTGGGATGGGAGGTTTTGGGTCATTTAATGAGTTTTGGTTATTGTCATTGTTTATGATGGATGGTTACAAGTTGTTAATTGCTAATGGTCAGGAAAAAAGCTGAACATGGAGATTAAATTCAGAGTTTTTTTTTTAAAGGAGAATATAGATATGAGGTAGATCACTGAATCTACTCTGAGAAAAAAAGATAAAGAAATAATAAGATAAATGGGTAGATAATTGAATCTACTCTAAAAAGAAAAAGGGGAAGATATAAAAATGACAAAAGGTAGATTACTGAATCTATTATGAAAAGAAAAAAGAGAGAATATGGATATGATAAGATAAAAAGGTCAATTATTGAATATACTTTAAAAAAAGAACTACTTGTTTTAAATAAGTAATGAAATTTTTTTGTCTGAGTTTATCAAATGTTACTGGACTGGACATTATTAATATATATAATGGAGTTTTTATCTGAATCTGTCAAATGTTAATGGACTAGACATTGTTAATGTAATTCTTGACTATATATATTGCATATACTTATTGGATAGCTTTTCTTGTATTAGTTATAAGCTTTTTTTTAATTTTAGACAAAAAAGGGGGAAATATGGTGGTATTGTGTACCTTGAAATATTGTGCACACTAATAAACTTATCTGGGGTCAGAGACAGAACAGCCACAATATTAAACATAGAGGATAGGCAGTAGTAGCACGTGCATTTAATCCTAGCATTCCAGAGGCAGAGATCTACCTGGATCTCTGTGTGTTCAAGGATACAACCAAGCATGGTTACTCATGCCTTTAATCTCAAGGAGTGATGGCAGAAAGCAGAAAGTTATATAAGGCATGAAGACCAGAAACTAGAAGCTTTTAGCTGGTTAAGCTTTTAGGCTTTTGAGCAGCCTTTCAGCTGAGAGTCATTGGGATGAGGACCCAGACTTCCAGTCTGAGGAAACAGGATCATCTGAGGAATTGGCAAGGTGAGGTAGCTGTGGCTTATTCTGCTTCTCTGATCTTCCAGGTTTAACCCAATACCAGCGTCCAGGTTTGAATCGTGCTACAAAAAACATATTTTTTTTTTTACAAAAAAACATATTTTTAAAACAATTTAAAATAAGCAAATAACTTTACCCCAGTCAAAAAAAGTATACCACTTTTAAATACAAGGATTTTTTTTTTACAGATTTTTATTTTTAAGTGTGCGTGTGTGCATGCATTCGTGCGTGCACGCCATAAATGCAGGCGCCCATGGAAGCCAGTTAGAATTAGAGTTACAGGCAATTATGAGTTGTCCCACATGGGTCCTGGGAATTGAGTCCAGGCCTTCTGCAAGAACAGTACTGCCATTAGTCACTGGGTCAGCTCTTCATCCCTGAAATATCAGGTATTTAACAATTACTAGCAACAGTTATGCTCCCTACTCACTACCAATGTCTGTCTATGAGTGTCTTGTACGTGTCACTTTCATAGGCTCTGTTGAAGAGCAACAAACAAATTAAGCCAGGTCTTAATGAATTTGCTTGTCATCTTTGTATAGGGGCCATGCTAATCTTCTCTGTATCATTCCAGTTTATAGTATCTGTGATGCCTAATCGAGCACCCTAAGAGGAACGCATGAATCACCCTGGGAAGAGGGAATAGATAAGATTTCCTGGATAAACTGGGAGTAAGAGTAGAGGGCGGGTAGGTGAGGGATCTGACTGGATGAGTTGGGGAAGGGACAGAGAAAGAGAGCAACAAAAGAGATATCTTGATAGAGGGGAGCCATTATGGGGTTAGGGAGAAACCTGGTGCCAGGGAAAATCCCAGGAATCCAAAAGGATGACCCCAGCTAAGACTCCTAGCAATAGTGGAGAGTGTGCCTGAATTGGCCTTCTCTTATAATCAGACTGGTGATGACCCTAGTTGTTACCAGAAAGCATTTATCTGGTAACTGATGGAAGCAGATGTCGAGATCCACCCACAAGCACTGGGCCCAAGTTCTGGGAGTCCTGTTGAAGAGGGAGGGGAGGGTATTGTATGAGCCAAGAGGGTCAAGATCCCGAAGAAGGAATTCACAGAGACAGCTGACCTGAGTTCATGGGAGCTCCTGGACTGACAGCTAGGGAGTCTGCATGTGACTGTCCTAGGGCCTCCACATGTGTATGACAATTGTATAGCTTAGTCTGTTTGTGGGGGGTCCTAGCAGTGGGATCAGGACTTGTCCCTGGCACTTGAGCTGGCTTTTGGGACCCTATTCCCCAAAGCTGGGTTGCCTTGCCCAGCCCTGATGCAGGGGGAGGAGATTGGTCCTGCCTCAACTTGAAGTGCCATTATTTGTTGATGCCCATGGGAGGCCTGACCCTTTCTGAAAGGAGATACAGATGGAGGAGAAGTGGATGGGAGGGGGGTACAGGGGAGGCTTGGGGGTGGGACAGGAGGAGAGGAGGGAGGGGAAACAGCTATCAGAATTAAAATAAATGAAAAATTCTAAATAAATAAAAAATAAACATAATTTAACTGGCAAGAACAATTAAAAAGTTACTACATTTCTGGATGACATCAACATAACTGAGGCTATTGATTGTTCACTGTTATTCCCTTTGGGGCTCATCCTTACATGTTGAGGCTGCTTATTGAAAATACCTGATGTTCTCTTCTTATGGGTGTTAATATTGACCTGCTATGGTCAGGGAAATAGTAAGAATTTCGGTAGGGAAATATTGGATTGGAAACTGGAAGACAGACACCATCTTCCTCACAGCTCTGTTGACAAACTCTAAGACAGACTCCACTTTGGCTCCAAGAGTACCTGCATCACACATAAACTCGAGCCATCCAAAGGTAAACTTCTTGATGAATATTAGCTGACCTACCCTGCTTGCTTCTCCTGTCCACTCCCAATATTTTCTCACAATTGTCAGTGTCTTTGAGATGACTCAATAATGTATTTGGACTCAAATCCATGCCTCAGATTTGGCTGTAGACACGTTATTTGACAGTTGCATATTTAAGTCAGCTATTCTTTTATTCCATTCATTTCCTGAATTTTTATTATCACCTTTCTTTTATTTCCTAGTTTTTTAAGGTGACAGATTCAAGGCCTCTCTTGCATTGTAAAATAGGACTTGCATGCTGAAATATTACTGCTAAGTACAGAGCACCAGGGTATAAACATTTTGAGATGTTTTGTTTTATTTTGTATTTAATTAAAGTATTTTTAAAAGTCCTTTAAACTTACTCATTGGCTTTTCTGGTGCTGAGGTTAGAATCCAAGGCTGAGTACACTCTAGGCAAGTTCTCTACTTTAATTCGCAGGGTACTATAGAAACATGTCTTTTAGTTATCAAAATTTTCAAAGGTCCTTTATGCTAATGGTTTTCACTTTTCCTCCATTGTTGACAGAAGTTATCATTTATGATAGAATTCCAGTTTAACTTCTGTGGCTCCAAATATTATGTATATGAGTAAATATTCAAAGGGTATTTGATAAAAACATACACTCTGTTGTCATTGGGAGTTGTAAATTTGACTGTGTTATTAAGGCTGTTAGAATTTTACCATTGTACTCACTACTTTGTTCTATTATTTTCCAAGAGAGATATATTTAAGTCTGACAGACTTGGATTTGTCAGTTTTCTGAAGTCAAATCTACTTCAGTTAATGAATATTCAAACTGCTATAATCTACATTATCAAATTTCCAGGCACAAGCCTTTAATCCCAGCACTTGGGAGGCAAAGTCTGACAGATCTTTGTGAGTTAGAGGCCAACCTGGTCTACTTAGTGAGTTCCAAGACATCCAGAGCTACATAGAGAGACCCTGTCTCAAAAGCAAATGATTCCCCCACCAAAAAACAATTAGGACTTTTACATCCTTGAGATGAATTGACCTTCTTATCATTATGAAACAACACCCTTTTTACATCTGTAATATTAGTTTATGTACTATCTCATTTGTGTGATACTAACGCATCTTCTTCCAATTTCTTTTGTTTGGGGTGAGTACAGTATGTATTTTTCTTTTACCTCACTTATTTCATATTAGATTTGCATTGTGTTTCTTTCATGCAATATATAGTAGAATCTTGGTTATTTTTCTGTGTAGAGCACTGCCTTTTACCTGGAGAATTTGAGTCATGTGATTACTGTTATGTTCACGGTAAGCAATGGACTTATTGCATATCCTTGGTTGAAAGTGTATCTCTTTCACAGTTCACAAGTAGAATTATCCATAGATTGTCATCTTCAATCTCTTGCTCCATTGTCTTCCATTCTGCATTTTTGTGATGAGAAATATGCTGTCATGTTTTTCTTTGTGCCTCTCTATGTTGTTCTATTGATAAGATTTTGGTTTTTTAGAACAGGTTTTTAGAAATTTGACTGTGCCACGAATAGACATACTTAGTTTTCTTATTACAAAGCTTTCTTATTTATTTTTATTTCTTTATTGGCTGAGAATTTCATATATGCATATATTATGACCAACCTCCTTTTCATCCACTCCAATTTCTTGCCTATCCTCACCACCATTAATCCTTCCCTTCTCATTATAAATCTTATTTTCCTGTTTCTTTTCATGCTTCATAATGCTTTGTTCAGTATCAGTTATTGGCTGTGATTATTTTCATTTTTAATGCTAAATGTTTTATACTACTATGCATATTCCTTTATTTCACTCTGAGGGAAAATTTGATCCTTTATAGTTTTGTTTTTATAATTAGCCATACAATATTTGGTCTAGGTATGGCAAGCCCCACATTTAAGCCAACAACTGAGTGCTTTCTGGGCATCTAGTATCCAATAAGCTTTGATGTTTTCTAGTCCCATTTGTTGATGGAAACACTACTCCCAACCCTGTGTGGATTTGTTATAATCCTTCCAGGTGACATTTTCCCTAGGTGCAGGTAATACCTTCATATTATGTGCTGATCATCACTTTGCTGAAAGCTCACAGAATAGCCACAGCACATTCCTGAAATCTCCTTTCCTTTCTAACCATCCGTCAGGATAACAGCTCAAATCTGATCTCCATAGACACTTTCCTGTCTACAACTCCTAAAATCTTCTCTGCATGTCTGGGATTCCCCTTATCTGTACTACAAAGACATGGAAACAGTCTTAGGTTTAGAAATTTCAGGGATTTCCATTCCTCGGTTCTCAGTGTTGGGTGGCTTAAAACTTATGGTACCTATATTTTGTCCAATCATTTATTGTTTTGGGTAATAAGATAAATTTGGTCCTTATTATTTTATCATTGCTAGAATCAGAAGTGTCAGGATCAGACACATTCTTATAAAACCTCATCACACATTGATCAGTCCAGTGAAACACAGGAGTATCTTGTTTAAGGTCAGACCGTAAAGGCGCTGAAGTCGGGGTTTAAGCTCAGATATTCAATTCCAGAAACTAAGATATTCAAGTTCATTCTGGAGCACTAGTCTATACAGTTTTTGTAACTTGGCATTTGAAAGTATTACTTATTTTTATATTATTAATTAACAAAATAGTACTGAAAGTAAAAAATGGATATATGACCAGAAGTATTTTATAGGTAAAACTATATATATGCAGTCAGGGAACTGTATGTAGATCACATAAACAAATGAGAGTCCAGAGTTGTGAAGTAAGATATGCTAAAATGTTCCAGAATAAGAAGAATTCCCTAAACCTAGTCTGAGTTCACTATGTTATGGTTTAAATTCATTTTTATCTTGCTGAACCTTAGCTATTTGAAACATCTATGTAATGTCTATGCTTGAATACTGCTGTCCTTTATGTTACTAGTTTCTGACAAGGATGATTAATGGAAATGCCATCAGCTCATTTTGTTAGAATATTGTAAATCAAAAGCTAATGTAATTATGCAGAACTTTGTGTTGAGAATAAGAAGACAAAAGGAGGTAAACGTTGTTCAGCATCTATTGTCACATTTGGTTTCAGTTGTTTTATTCTAAAAATGAGGCAGCATGTCATTTTATGTCTGATAAGTATTAGACTGTATGTGCACATACATTCTCATTGACAATCCACCATGACATTTTACAATCCCTTCCCAACAACGACACTGTCTAATTAACACCATGTCTTGTTGATTCCAGTAGCTTCCAGTTACTCTTCATTTGGTAACTGAGAAAGTGATGCTTATTGCAAACCTCAAAGCAAAAGAAAAAAACATACTGAAACGGTTTTTCTTTTTCTTCTCAATCTCCCTCTTTATGTCTAGACATTAAAATTAATTTGTGCAAAGCTCATGGCATAATGCAGAGTAGGCACTTAATGACTGACATCTTAGGTTTCTATGAATAAAACTTTGGGAGGATATAAATGCCACAGAGAGACAGAGAAGGGAAGAGAAAGAAAAGAAAGAGGAAATGGAAACATAGCAGCACAGCAATTATCGCAACTGAATCCACTCAGAAATAGACATCAAGACCTGTAGATAAAATAATACACAATACAAATGATTTAGGGGTTTTTTTTTGATTGTTTGTTTTTTTGTTTGGGCTTGATCAAATTCAAGCCAATCAAAGATCCAGCATGGATAGGAGAGAGGTTCATGAGACTCCACCCCTAGCTGAGGGCTGCTGGCAGTTGATGGATACAGAGGGAAAGTCACTTT